TTCTTTCCCTCCTTCCTTCTTTCTTCCTTCCTTTCTGTCCCCCCTTCTTTCTCTTTCCTTTCCTTTGTTCCCTCCTCCCCTCCCTCCCTTCCTTTCCCTTCCTTCCTTCTTCCTTTCCTTCTTTCTATGTAAGATATAAATACAATATTTTATATATTGTTATATAGATTACTATATAATACATTACTATTATATATTACTACATAATACAAATTAAATAGACTTACAGAATAGAGTTGGAAGGGACAGTCAAGAAGTAACGAGAGGAGGGAAAGAGGGAAGGAATGAAGGTGGGAAAGGGGGAAAGAGAGAAGGAGGGAGGGAAAGAAGGAAGGAAAGAAAGGCAGAGGCAAGAAAGGAGAGGAGGGAAAGAGGGAAGGAAGAGAAGGAGGGAAAGAGGGAAGGAATGAAGGAGGGAAAGGGGGAAGGAGAGAATGAAGGGAGGGGAAGAAGGAAGGAAAGAAAGGTAGAGAAGCAAGAAAGGAGAGAAGGAGGGAAAGAGGGAAGGAATGAAGGAGGGAAAGGGGGAAGGAGAGAAGGGAGGGAGGGGAAGAAGGAAGGAAAGAAAGAAAGGTAGAGAAGCAAGAAAGGAGAGAAGGAGGGAAAGGGGGAAGGAGAGAAGGGAGGGAGGGGAAGAAGGAAGGAAGGAAAGAAAGGTAGAGAAGCAAGAAAGGAGAGAAGGAGGGAAAGAGGGAAGGAATGAAGGCGGGAAAGGGGGAAGGAGAGAAGGAGGGAGGGAGGGAAGGAAGGAAAGAAAGGTAGAGAAGCAAGAAAGGAGGGAAAGAGGGAAGGAATGAAGGAGGGAAAGGGGGAAGGAGAGAAGGAGGGAGGGAAGAAGGAAGGAAAGAAAGAAAGGTAGAGAAGCAAGAAAGGAGAGAAGGAGGGAAAGAGGGAAGGAATGAAGGAGGGAAAGGGGGAAGGAGAGAAGGAGGGAGGGAAAGAAGGAAGGAAGGAAGGAAAGGTAGAGAAGCAAGAAAGGAGAGAAGGAGGGAAAGAGGGAAGGAATGAGGGAGGGAAAGGGGGGAAGGAGAGAAGGAGGGAGGGAAAGAAGGAAGGAAGGAAAGAAAGGTAGAGAAGCAAGAAAGGAGAGAAGGAGGGAAAGAGGGAAGGAATGAAGGAGGGAAAGGGGGAAGGAGGGAGGAAAAGAAGGAAGGAAAGAAAGAAAGATAGAGAAGCAAGAAAGGAGAGAAGGAAGGAAAAAGGGGAAGGAATGAAGGAGGGAAAGGGGGGAGGAGGGAGGAAAGAGGAAAGGAAAGAAGAAAGGTAGAGAAGCAAGAAAGGAGAGAAGGAGGGAAAGAGGGAAGGAATGAGGGAGGGAAAGGGGGGAAGGAGAGAAGGAGGGAGGGAAAGAAGGAAGGAAGGAAAGAAAGGTAGAGAAGCAAGAAAGGAGAGAAGGAGGGAAAGAGGGAAGGAATGAAGGAGGGAAAGGGGGAAGGAGAGAAGGAGGGAGGGAAAGAAGGAAGGAAGGAAGGAAAGGTAGAGAAGCAAGAAAGGAGAGAAGGAGGGAAAGAGGGAAGGAATGAGGGAGGGAAAGGGGGGAAGGAGAGAAGGAGGGAGGGAAAGAAGGAAGGAAGGAAAGAAAGGTAGAGAAGCAAGAAAGGAGAGAATGAGGGAAAGAGGGAAGGAATGAAGGAGGGAAAGGGGGAAGGAGGGAGGAAAAGAAGGAAGGAAAGAAAGAAAGGTAGAGAAGCAAGAAAGGAGAGAAGGAAATAAAAAAGTGAAAGGAAAAATACAGGGAAGGATGTAACCAAAGAGCAAACAAAGGGAGGAAAGAAACAGGTAGAGATGGAAGAAAGAAGAAGATAAATAGGAAGGGAAAGAAAAAGAGGAAAGGAAGGAGAGAAAGAGGGAGGGAAAGTTGGCCACAGCAACGCGTGGCGGGTACAGCTAGTAGTAAATAAAAGAATAAAGCTGGGAGAGAAACACCGAATCCCAAGCCCAGAGAGCCTGCAAGTTGAGACCACCGAAAGTGTCACAACTCAGGGTAGTTTCCGCCTTGCTCAAGACACCGCCACACACCAAAGCTGTAGATTTTGTAGTTTATTGAGAAAAAAGCAAAATCAAAACAGAGAAATAAAGATGCAAAAGTTCAATAGGCAAAACAGAGTCTTAAATGCAAAGGCAAGGTTCCCAAGATCCACAGGCAAATAACATGAAGCATAATCCCTTAGCAATGGTCAAACAAGAGTCCATGGTAGACAGGTAAAATCAGGATCAGAATCAAGTCTCAAAGAAGCCATATAAAATTCCATTGCCATATAAAATCCAGATTCTCTGCTTTGTATTCTATTGTATTATATGGCAGAAGTGTTCTGCAAAAGCCAAGGTAATTCCACAGAAGTTAACAGGTAAGAAGCAACATTGGACTGACAAGAAATGCCTGTCAGCCACATCATTAAATAGGTTTCCCTAACATGAAAGCATTGCGTTGACCTTTGGCTTCCCTCTTGCTGGCAAGGCGTATGCTTCTGCGAAGCCTTAATTGCAAACGATCCTGTCTGCTCATTAATTCACCATTATCTTCAAGGCTGTACAACTCCTAATCTTGGCCCAGCTGGGCCAGATCACTCTGGGAACCGAAAGGACTTGTGGGATTTCACTATCTCTATCTAAAGGAACATTCCTTTCTCCGGGGAATAGGCTTGCTGTTTCTTCTTCAGAAGCCACACTACCAACCCCGTCTGGAACATGTACAGCAGTGGTTCTCAACGTTCCTAATGCCGCGACCCCTTAATCCAGTTCCTCATGTTGTGGTGACCCCCAGCCATTAAACTATTTTCGTTGCTACTTTATAATTGTAATTTTGCACCTGTTATGAATCGTTATGTAAATATCTGATATTCAGGATGTGTTCTCATTCACTGGACCAAATTTGGCACAAATACCCAATATGCCCAAATTTGAATACTGGTGGAATTGGGATGGGAGGATTGATTTTGACATTCGGGAGTTGTAGTTGCTGGGATTTATAGTTCGCCTACATTCAAAGAGCATTCTGAACTACACCAACAATGGACATGGCACACAGAACTCCCATGACCAACAGAAAATACTGGAAGGGTTTGGTGGGCATTGACCTTGGGTTTTAGAGTTGTAGTTCGCTTACATCCAGAGAGCACTGTGGGCTCAAACAATGATGGATTTGGATCAAACTTGGCACTAATATTCAGTATGCCCAAATGTGAACACCGGTGAAGTTTGGGGAAAATAGACCTTTACATTTGGGAGTTGTAGTTGCTGGGATTTATAGTTCACCTACTACCAAAGAGCATTCTGAAGCCCACCAACGATAGAATTAGGCCAAACTTCCCACACAGAACTCCCATGACCAACAGAGAATACTGTCTGTGATGGTCTTTGGCGACCCCTCTGACACCCTCTCACGACCCCTTCAGGGGTTGCGACCCCCAGGTTGAGAACCACTGATGTACAGAAATCTGTAACCCGTCAGCCTCCTCGTCATCCTGCAGAAAGTCAGGCTCAGAAGACCCAAACAGTTCAGTTTCAGACTCAGACTGAGCCACGAGTCCGTGCAGCTGCTAGCCATTGTCGTGTGGGGTCCCGCAGGGCTCAGTATTGTCCCCCATGTTGTTTAACATCTACATGAAGCCGCTGGGTGAGATCATCCGGAGTTTTGGAGTTCGATGCCATCTGTACGCAGATGACGTCCAACTCTATCACTCATTTCCACCAGATGCTAAGGAAGCTGTCCAAGTCCTGAACGGGTGCTTGGCCGCTGTGACGGTCTGGATGAGGGCGAGCAAATTGAAGTTGAATCCAGACAAGACAGAGGTCCTCCTGGTCAGTCACAAGGCCAAACAGGGTATAGGGTCACAACCTGTGCTGGACGGGGTCACACTCTCCTTGAAGACACAGGTTTGCAGGCACGGGGTCACACTCCCCTTGAAGGCACAGGTTCGGGGTCACACTCCCCTTGAAGGCACAGGTTCGGGGTCACACTCCCCTTGAAGGCACAGGTTCGCAGCTTGGAAGTTCTCCTGGACTCATCACTGAGCCTGGAATCCCAGGTTGCAGCAGTGGCCAGGGGAGCCTTCGCCAGCTGCGCCCATATCTTGGGAAGTCAGACTTGGCCACAGTGGTCCACACTCTCGTTACATCTAGAATAGACTACTGCAACGCACTCTACATGGGGCTGCCTTTGAAGACTGCTCGGAAGCTTCAAATAGTCTAACAAGAGGCAGCCAGGTTAATAACTGGGGCGGCATACAGGGAGAATACAACTCCCATGTTACGCCAGCTCCACTGGCTGCCAGTTTGCTACCGGGCACAATTCAAAGTGCTGGCTTTGGCCTAGAAAGGCCTAAATGGCCCCGGCCCAAATTACCCTTCCAAACGCATCTCCCTCTATGTACCATCGTGGAGATTAAGATCGTCCGGGGAGGCCCTGCTTTCCGTCCCGCCATTGTCACAGGCGCGATTGGTGGGGACGAGAGACAGGACCTTCTCGGTGATTGCTCCCCGGCTATGGAACTCCCTTCCTTGTGAGATCAGGTCGGCCCCCTCCCTCCTGTCCTTTAGAATAATAGAATCCTAGAATCCTAGACTTGGAAGAGACCTCCTGGGCCATCATCCAGTCCAACCCCATTCTGCCAAGATGCAGGAATACTGCATTCAAATCACCCCTGACAGATGGCCATCCAGCCTCTGTTTAAAAGCTTCCAAAGAAGGAGCCTCCACCACACTCCGGGGCAGAGAGTTTCACTGTTGAACGGCTCTACACATGTTTGTTTCCTCTCTGTTGTTGGACATCTAATCACCTCTCAACAAAAGATTGCTCCAGGCACTGCCAGGCAATCAAATGCTAATCAAGGTGGATGTCAGGTTAGAAGAATGTTAAAAACTTGGCTGTTGGACCAAGCTTTTGGGACTGGGCAATGAAGCGACAATGGGAAAGATGACAGGGCCAGAGAGGAGCAAAACGCTTTGGGTGCAACACCTTGGTTGCCATCCATCTCACCCTCCTTTCCTCTCACCTTCAGCCCAAACAGCGCTCTGTACGGGATCGACAGCATGCCGGACCTGCGGCGCAAGAAGTCCTTCCCCATTGTCCGGGACGTGGTGAGTGCCGCGGGTTTCGGGATTTGGATTGGAGGGCTCCCAGGCTTTGATCTGAAGGGAGACCAAGCCCTGACCCTCCCTCTGCCCTTTGCTGCAGCCCCTTCCCAAATCTGGAGGGAATGGGTGCAGTGGCCTCGACATGGATGACTTTGAGCGTAGAGAAGGGTCCGTGGGGCAGGGGGAGGTGGTCGGTAGATTCTTTCGATGTTGCAATTGTCCTCTGGACTCCTGCCCACTAATGTTTCTTCCTCTCCTTCCTTTCTCTCCCTGCATCGCTGGATCTCCCAGGCCATGGTAAGTGCATCTCCGTTGCCCGGCGGATTTATTTATTTATCATGTCAGACCATTGTATTACATTTCTAATACAACAAAACAAACAAACAGGTTAAAAAAACATAAAGTTTGGAAACTTGGTAGTTGATTAAATGTCCTTCGACCATTATCTGGCCACTTGGAGTGCTTCTGGTGTTGCCGCAAGGAGGTCCTCCCTTGTGTCATGTGGCAGGGCTCAGGGTGCATTGCAGCAGGTGGTCAGTGGTTTGCTCTTCTCCGCACTCGCATGTCGTGGATTCCACTTTGTGGCCCCATTTCTTGAGGTTGGCTCTGCATCTCGTGGTGCCAGAACGCAGTCTGTTCAGCGCCTTCCAAGTCGCCCAGTCTTCTGTGTGCCCAGGGGGGAGTCTCTCATTGGTTCACCCACGGATTGAGGTGCTGGGTTTGAGCCTGCCACTTTTGGACTCTCGCTTGCTGAGGTGTTCCAGCGAGTCTCTGTAGATCTTAGAAAACTATGTCTAGATTTAAGTCGTTGACGTGCTGGCTGATACCCAAACAGGGGATGAGCTGGAGATGTCTCTGCCTTGGTCCTTTCACTATTGGCTGCTACTTCCCGGCGGATGTCAGGTGGTGCAATACCGGCTAAGCAGTGTAATTTCTCCAGTGGTGTAGGGCGCAGACACCCCGTGATAATGCGGCATGCCTCATTAAGAGCCACATCCACTGTTTTAGCGTGGTGAGATGTGTTCCACACTGGGCATGCATACTCAGCAGCAGAGTAGCATAGCGCAAGGGCAGATGTCTTCACTGTGTCTGGTTGTGATCCCCAGGTTGTGCCAGTCAGCTTTCGTATGATGTTGCCGCTTTTTGCTTGATGTTCAGGCAGTGCTTCTTGTAGGTCAGAGCATGGTCCAGAGTGACTCCTCCCAGGGATTTGGGTGCGCTGCAATGCTCCCGTGGGATTCCTTCCCAGGTAATCATCCTCAGAGCTCGGGATGCTTGTCTGTTCTTGAGATGAAAAGAACATGTCTGTGTTTTAGATGGATTAGGGATCAGCTGGTTTTCCCTGTAATAGGCAGTAAGAGCACCTAGAGCTTCGGAGAGCTTCTGTTCAACCATCTCAAAGCTCCCTGCTTGAGCGGTGATGGCACGATCATCAGCATAGATGAAGCTCTCTGTCCCTTCTGGCAGTGGCTGGTCATTTGTGTAGATGTTGAACATGGATGGAGCACGCTCCCCTGAGGCAGGCCGTTCTTCTGTTTCCGCCATCTGCTTCTCTGGCCCTGGAACTCAACAAAAAGCTCCTGTTTTGTAGCAGGTTTCCTATGAGGCGGGTGAGTGGTCGTCCTGTGTGATATTATATATATGATATATGATTAGGGATCAGCTGGTTTTCCCTGTCATAGGCAGTGACAGCACCTAGAGCTTCAGAGAGCATCTGTTCAACCATCTCAAAGCTCCCTGCTTGAGCGGTGATGGCACTATCATCAGCATAGATGAAGCTCTCTGTCCCTTCTGGCAGTGGCTGGTCATTTGTGTAGATGTTGAACATGGATGGAGCAAGCACGCTTCCCTGAGGCAGGCCGTTCTTCTGTTTCCGCCATCTGCTTCTCTGGCCCTGGAACTCAACAAAAAGCTCCTGTTTTGTAGCAGGTTTCCTATGAGGCGGGTGAGGTGGTCGTCCTTTGTGATATTATATATATGATATATGATTAGGGATCAGCTGGTTTTCCCTGTAATAGGCAGTAAGAGCACCTAGAGCTTCGGAGAGCTTCTGTTCAACCATCTCAAAGCTCCCTGCTTGAGCGGTAATGGCACGATGATGTCGTATGTTGTGTGTCGTATGTATGCGTGGCGGATGATGTTGTATGTTGTTGTTTATGTTTCGGAAGGCGAATTCCTTGCACAACGAGGCAGACTTCAAGGCCAGAGGGAGTTGCCAGGGAGGCTCGCAAGCAGGCCGCACCCAAGCCGAAGCCACTCTAGAGCGGGCAAATGGGGTGATGGTGGGCACCATTGCCCAAAGGGAGGGCGCCAGGGCTGGGAACGGACGGGTGGATAGACACACAGGCAGAGGGACGCGGGACCCTTCCCGCCCTAATAGGGATCCCTGCCCTGCCTTGCTGAGGAATCCCCCCGCCCGCCCGCGATGTGGATCCCTCTCTGAAGGGCTTCCCTGAAGTGTGTTAAGGAAGATGCATTTGCCGGGTGGAACAAGGGTTCCTTTATTCATTCATTAGAATTAAAAATGCATGAGCCGCTCTCGCTTCTTTTTCCAGCTGTGCGGAGGCAGACGTGGTGGATCCGGGTTATTTGAGGTTTTTAGGGACGGTTTTGTGGAGGCATGTTCCAATGGCAAGGATGTAGTGACCCTTTGCTCCCATCATCCCCAGTGGGGTGTTGGAGTTCAACCCCACACTGCCCAAGTCTCAAGTCCTCAGTGAGGAACAGTTTGGTTAGCTTAGTATAGACCAGGGGTCTTCGAACTACGGCCCGCAGGCCGGATACGGCCCTCCAAGGTCATTTACCCGGCCCTCGCTCAGGGTCAACCTAAGTTTGAAACGACTTGAAAGCACACAACAACAACAACAATGATAGAATCACAGAATCATAGAATCCTAGAGTTGGAAGAGACATCCTGGGCCATCCAGAAGTAGGAAAATTGCATTCAAATCACTCCTGAAAGATGGCCATCCGGCCATCTGTTTAAAAGCCTCCAGAGAAGGAGCTTCCACTACACTCTGGGACAGAGAATTCCACTGCTGAACAATTCTCATAGTCAGGATGTTCTTCCTAATGTTCAGGTGGCATCTCCTTTCATGTCGATGAGGAACTGTATTAAGGAGGAGTGGCAGTAGGAAGAGACATTTATTTTATTTCAAATCATAGAATCCTAGAGTGGGAAGAGACCTCCTGGGCCATCATCCAGTCCAACCCCATTCTGCCAAGAAGCAGGAATATTGCATTCAAAGCACCCCTGACAGATGGCCATCCAGTCTCTGCTTCAAAGCTTCCAAAGAAGGAGCCTCCACCACACTCCCTCTGGGGCAGAGAGTTCCACTGCTGAACATAGAATCATAGAATCCTAGAGTTGGAAGAGACCTCCTGGGCCATCATCCAGTCCAACCCCATTCTGCCAAGAAGCAGGAACATTGCATTCAAAGCACCCCGACAGATGGCCATCCAGCCTCTGCTTAGTAATAATAATAATAATAATAATAATAATAATAATAATAATAATAATAGAATCCTAGAGTTGGAAGAGACCTCATGGGCCATCATCCAGTCCAACCCCATTCTGCCAAGAAGCAGGAATATTGCATTCAAAGCACCCCTGACAGATGGCCATCCAGCCTCTGTTTAAAAGCTTCCAAAGAAGGAGCCTCCACCACACTCCCTCCGGGGCAGAGAGTTCCACTGCTGAATGGCTCTCAGTCAGGAAGTTCTTAATCATAGAATCCTAGAGTGGGAAGAGACCTCCTGGGCCATCATCCAGTCCAACCCCATTCTGCCAAGAAGCAGGAATATTGCATTCAAAGCACCCCTGACAGATGGCCATCCAGCCTCTGCTTAATAATAATAATAATAATAATAATAATAATAATAATAATAATAGAGTTGGAAGAGACCTCCTGGGCCATCCAGTCCAACCCCATTCTGCCAAGAAGCAGGAAATAATGCATTCAAAGCACCCCTGACAGATGGCCATCCAGCCTCTGTTTAAAAGCTTCCAAAGAAGGAGCCTCCACCACACTCCCTCCGGGGCAGAGAGTTCCACTGCTGAACAGCTCTCACAGTCAGGAAGTTCTTCCTCATGTTCAGGTGGAATCTCCTCTCTTGTAGTTTGAAGCCATGGCTCCATTGCGTCCTAGTCTCTAGGGAAGCAGAAAACAAGCTTGCTCCCTCCTCCTCCCTATGGCTTCCTCCTACATATTTATACATGGCTATTGTGTCTCCTCTCAGCTTTCTCTTCTTCAGGCTAAACATGCCCAGCATCTTAAGCCGCTCTTCATAGGGCTTGTTCTCCAGACCCTTGATCATTTTAGTCGCCCTCCTCTGGACACATTCCAGCTTGTCAATATCTCTCTTGAATTGTGGTGCCCAGAATTGGACACAATGTGATTCCAGGTGTGGTCTAACCAAAGTGGAATAGAGCATGGGGAGCAGGACTTCCCTAGATCTAGACACTAGGCTCCTCTTGATGCAGGCCAACATCCCATTGGCTTTTTTTGCCGCCACATCACATTCCTGGCTCATGTTCCCCTTCCTCCCCACGAGGACTCCAAGATCTTTTCCCCACGTCCTGCTCTCGAGCCAGGCCTCATCGTCCTCCATTCTGTCTCTTTGCATTTCGTTTTTTCTGCCTAAGTGGAGTATCTTGCATTTGTCACTGTTGAACTTCATTTTGTTAGTTTTGGCCCATCATCTCTCTAATCTGTTGAGGTCGTTTTGAATCCTGCTCCTGTCCTCTGGAGTCTTGGCTCTCCCTCCCAATTTGGTGTCGTCTGCAAACTTGATGATCATGCCTTCGAACCCTTCATCTAAGTCATTAATAAAGATGTTGAACAGGACCGGGCCCAGGACGGAACCCTGCGGCACTCCACTCGTCACTTCTTTCCAGGATGAAGAGGAAGCATTGGTGAGCACCCTCTGGGTTTGTCCATTTAACCAATTCCAGATCCACCTCACCGTAGTTTTGCCTAGCCCACATTGGACTAGTTTCCTTGCCAGAAGGTCATGGGGGACCTTGTCAAAGAAGGCCTTCCTGAAATCCAGACACGCTCCACCCACGGCATCATTCCCCGCATCTACCCAGCTTGTAGCTCTATCGAAGAAAGAGATCAGATGAGTCTGGCATGACTTGTTTTTGATAAATCCATGTTGACTATTAGCGATGACCGCATTTGTTTCTAAGTGTTTGCAGACCACTTCCTTAACAATCTTTTCCAGAATCTTGCCTGGTATCGACGTGAGGCTGACCGGACGGTAGTTGTTTGGGTCATCCTTTTTTCCCTTCTTGAAGATTGGGACCACATTGGCCCTCCTCCAATCTTCTGGAACTTCTCCCGTTCTCCAAGAACTCTCAAAGATGGTTGCCAATGGTTCCGAAATGACTTCCGCTCGTTCCTTCAATACTCTTGGGTGGAGTTGAGGCTGACCGGACATTGGTCATTGTCTGGGTCATCCTTTTTTCCCTTCTTGAAGATTGGGACCACATTGGCCCTCCTCCAGTCTGCTGGAACTTCTCCCGTTCTCCAAGAACTCTCAGAGATGGTTGCCAATGGTTCCGAAATGACTTCCGCTCGTTCCTTCAATACTCTTGGGTGGAGTTGAGGCTGACCGGACATTGGTCATTGTTTGGGTCATCCTTTTTTCCCTTCTTGAAGATTGGGACCACATTGGCCCTCCTCCAGTCTGCTGGAACTTCTCCCGTTCTCCAAGAACTCTCAAAGATGGTTGCCAATGGTTCCGAAATGACTTCCGCTAGTTCCTTCAATACTCTTGGGTGGAGTTGAGGCTGACCGGACATTGGTCATTGTTTGGGTCATCCTTGTTTCCCTTCTTGAAGATTGGGACCACATTGGCCCTCCTCCAGTCTGCTGGAACTTCTCCCGTTCTCCAAGAACTCTCAGAGATGGTTGCCAATGGTTCCGAAATGACTTCCGCTCGTTCCTTCAATACTCTTGGGTGGAGTTGAGGCTGACCGGACATTGGTCATTGTCTGGGTCATCCTTTTTTCCCTTCTTGAAGATTGGGACCACATTGGCCCTCCTCCAATCTGCTGGAACTTCTCCCGTTCTCCAAGAACTCTCAGAGATGGTTGCCAATGGTTCCGAAATGACTTCCGCTCGTTCCTTCAATACTCTTGGGTGGAGTTGAGGCTGACTGGACATTGGTCATTGTCTGGGTCATCCTTTTTTCCCTTCTTGAAGATTGGGACCACATTGGCCCTCCTCCAGTCTGCTGGAACTTCTCCCGTTCTCCAAGAACTCTCAAAGATGATTGCCAATGGTTCCGAAATGACTTCCGCTAGTTCCTTCAATACTCTTGGGTGGAGTTGATCTGGCCCTGAAAGGGGACTTGAACTCATTTAGAGCGGCCAGGTATTCCTGGATGACTTGTTTCCCAATTTGGGGTTGGATGTCCTCTAATCCCTCATCCACTCCATCTTGCTGAGGTTGAAGATGACTTTCTTTTTGTGAGAAGACCGAGGCAATGTCTTTGTGTGAGAAGACGAAAGGGCTCCCTTGTGTTACAGGTCATCTTTGCATCCCAAGCCAAGCAAGGGTGAGCTTTGCCTGCCTTGACCCTTGGCACACTTGCCCTTTGGGCTACAACTCATGGCATTCTGGGAGGGAGTGGACCTTGAGGACTAGAAGCCTGCCTTCGGGAGACTCAATCATTGTCATCTCAACGCCTTTTTTGCCTGTTCCTGTGATGTTTTTTGGCAGAGCAAAAGTCGTCGAAACCATTTAATTTTGCTCCGTGAACGTGATGTTTTCACAGAAATGAAAGAAGAAAAGCGGAGGCTGGTGAGCAAACAGAATGATTTCATTATTAATGGTTTGCTCAGGAAATTAATTATGAATTAGTGTGACAATTTCGCCGGGGTAAATGGCCCAGAGTTTGCAGAGAGAGAGAGAGAAACGTCGGCGAAAGGGGAACCGTGAGATTCGTCCATTAACCGTTGTGCGGCAATAACGAAGCAGACCAAATACGGCCGTGCCGACGATTCCGTTCTTACATCATAATTAGTTTCAGGGAGTTAATCATATTACCTCCCTCGGCAAGTTTTAACTATTGTCAAGGGAGACGTTGGAGGGAGGGGAGAGAGCGCCGGCGTGCCGTTTTGTGAGCGGATGCACGAACGGAAGCCACGGCCGTGCGATCTAGATGAGGTCCATTGGCTCCAGAGGAGGTCCTTGTTTGGGCCAAGGTGTATCGCAGGGCAGGAGGAATTTATTTGTTGTGTCAGAGCAACCAGTCCATTATATTACATTTCTAACAGAACAAAGCAAACAAACAGACAAAATACAAAATTTGTGAGTTTGGTAGTTGGTTAAATGTCCTTTGACCAGTATCTGGCCACTTGGAGTGCCTCTGGTGTTGCCGCAAGAAGGTCCTCCCTTGTGCATCATGTGGCAGGGCTCAGGTGGCATTGCAGCAGGTGGTCAGTGGTTTGCTCTTCTCCACACTCGCATGTCGTGGATTCCACTTTGTGGCCCCATTTCTGAAGGTTGGCTCTGCATCTCGTGGTGCCAGAGCGCAGTCTGTTCAGCGCCTTCCAAGTCGCCCAGTCTTCTGTGTGCCCAGGGGGGAGACTCTCATTTGGTATTCTGGGTTTGAGCCTGCCACTTTTGGACTTTCGCTTGCTGAGGTGTTCCAGCGAGTGTCTCTGTAGATCTAAGAAAACTATTTCTTGATTTAAGTCGTTGACGTGCTGGCTGATACCCAAACAGGGGATGAGCTGGAGATGTCTCTGCCTTGGTCCTTTCACTATTGGCTGCTACTTCCCGGCGGATGTCAGGTGGTGCAATACCGGCTAGACTGTGTAATGTCTCCAGTGGTGTAGGGCGCAGACACCCCGTGATAATATGGCATGTCTCATTAAGAGCCACATCCACTGTTTTAGTGTGGTGAGATGTGTTCCACACTGGGCATGCGTACTCAGCAGCAGAGTAGCATAGCGCAAGGGCAGATGTCTTCACTGTGTCTGGTTGTGATCCCCAGGTTGTGCCAGTCAGCTTTCGTATGATATTGTTTCTAGCACCCACTTTTTGCTTGATGTTCAGGCAGTGCTTCTTGTAGGTCAGAGCACGGTCCAGAGTGACTCCTCCCAGGTATTTGGGTGCGCTGCAATGCTCCCGTGGGATTCCTTCCCAGGTGATAATCCTCAGAGCTCGGGATGCTTGTCTGTTCTTAAGGTGAAAGGCGCATGTCTGTGTTTTAGATGGATTAGGGATCAGCTGGTTTTCCCTGTAAGAGGCAGTAAGAGCACCTAGAGCTTCGGAGAGCTTCTGTTCAACCATCTCAAAGCTCCCTGCTTGAGCGGTGATGGCACGATCATCAGCATAGATGAAGCTCTCTGTCCCTTCTGGCAGTGGCTGGTCATTTGTGTAGATGTTGAACATGGATGGAGCAAGCACGCTCCCCTGAGGCAGGCCGTTCTTCTGTCCAATGAGGCCCTGCCTGGTCCTCCCTTGTGGTCCTGCTGCCACCGCCACCTCCTTCTTGACCGCTTGCCTTTTTTTCCTCCCGCAGAAGACGCTGGCTGCCCGGAAGTCTGGCATCTCCCTGGCCATGCTCATCCGGACCTCCGTCAACAATGAGGAGATGGTAAGAATTTCAGAGGATTTACCTTCACCCTTTCTCATTCTTTCCCCCTTTCTTGTTTTCCCTTAACAGGTTAGAGCAGGCGTGGGCCAACTTGGGCCCTCCCGTTGTTTTGGACTCCAACTCCCATAGCTCCTAACAGCCTCAGGCCCTTTCTTTTTCCCCCTCAGCCGCTTAAGCGGAATGGGAAAAGGAAAAGGAAGGGACCTGAGGCTGGTAGGAATTGTGGGAATTGAAGTCCAATACACCTGGAGGGTCGAAGTTGGTCCATGCCTGAGTTATAGTCCCAGGTGACTTTTTTCGTGAGAAAGGTGGTATAAATACTGTAAATAATAATAATAATAATAATAATAATAATAATAATAATAATAATAATGTCTCTGAGTCTTCTTATAGAGAGAAAAAACAAGGTATAGATATATAATAATAATAATAATAATAATAATAATAATAATAATAATAATAATAATATATTTCTGAGGCTCCTGGTAGACAGAAAAATCATGGTATAAATAATAATAATAATAATAATGTCTCTGAGTCTTCTTATAGAGATAAAAATGGTATAGAGACATAATAATAATAATAATAATAATAATAATAATAATAATAATATGTTTCTGAGGCTCCTTGTAGACAGAAAAAGCAAGGTATAAATAATAATAATAATAATAACAACAACAACAATAACAAAGTCTCTTTGAGTCTCCTTGTGGAGAAAAAAATCAAAGTATTAATAATAATAATAATAATAATAATAATAATAATATGTTTCTGAGGCTCCTGGTAGACAGAAAAAGCATGGTATAAATAATAATAATAATAATAATAATAATAATAATAATAATAATACCAACAACAACAACAGCAACAAGAGAGTAAAATAATTTAAAAAACCTAAGTTCAGGGGATCTCTTTCAGCCTAAAAAAGGGACTAAAAACCTGGCTTATGCTCAAGTATATAGAGTAACTTGTCCTGCATGCAGATGTAACTTCCTTGAATACACTCTCTCCAAATGACAGAGAGTGTCTTGATATCTGTTTGTCATTCCGCCGCTTCCTTGGCCCTTTGGGAAGCGCTGCTCCGGCGTCGGCCGTATCGATTGGAGGCGAGCCTAAAATTCCTTGGCAAGGAGGCTTATTGATTGTTCTCCGCTGGCTAATTTTATTTCCCTTCTTACTCTTGGAAATAGAACATCCGTTTCTTTTTTTAAACTCCGAGCCGGGTTGTTTTCGCTGGGCCGGGGCCTCTGAGGCAGAGAGCGGCATGCAAACAAAACTGACCATGCCCGGGAGACATGCGCTTGGCCTCTCTCTGTTGGGTAGCTTCAGAAAGGCAGATCAGCAGCCGCAACAGTTTAGCAGATCTGAAGCTTCTTGAGCACAGCAGTAGAGCAGACTTTATTTATTTATTGTGTCAGACGCCAGTTGAGGGTGCAGTTGTAATGTATTTAAAAACAAAGTTTGACCAGTCTCTGGCCCCTTGGAGTGCCTCTGGTGTTGCCGCAAGAAGGTCCTCCATTGTGCATGTGGCAGGGCTCAGGGTGCATTGCAGCAGGTGGTCAGTGGTTTGCTCTCCTCCACACTCGCATGTCGAGGATTCCACTTTGTGGCCCCATTTCTTGAGGTTGGCTCTGCATCTTGTGGTGCCAGAGCGCAGTCTGTTCAGCGCCTTCCAAGTCGCCCAGTCTTCTGTGTGCCCTCTCATTTGGTATCAGCCATTGGTTGAGGTTCTGGGTTTGAGCCTGCCACTTTTGGACTCTCGCTTGCTGAGGTGTTCCAGCGAGTGTCTCTGTAGATCTTAAAAAACTATTTCTAGATTTAAGTCGTTGACGTGCTGGCTGATACCCAAACAGGGGATGAGCTGGAGATGTCTCTGCCTTGGTCCTTTCACTATTGGCTGCTACTTCCCGGCGGATGTCAGGTGGTGCAATACCGGCTAAGCAGTGTAATTTCTCCAGTGGTGTGGGCACAGACACCCCGTGATAATGCGGCATGTCTCATTAAGAGCCACATCTACTGTTTAGCATGGTGAGATGTGTTCCACACTGGGCATGCGTACTCAGCAGCAGAGTAGCACAGCGCAAGGGCAGATGTCTTCACTGTGTCTGGTTGTGATCCCCAGGTTGTGCCAGTCAGCTTTCGTATGATATTGTTTCTAGCACCCATTTTGCTTGATGTTCAGGCAGTGCTTCTTGTAGGTCTCCCAGGTATTTGGGTGCGCACAAGGGCGGATGCCTTCACTGTGTCTGGTTGTGATCTCCAGGTTGTGCCAGTCAGCTTTCGTATGATATTGTTTCTAGCACCCATTTTGCTTGATGTTCAGGCAGTGCTTCTTGTAGGTCAGAGAACGGTCCAGAGCTGCCTCTGCCACACTCCACCCGAAAGGACTCCCTTCCCTTCTTTCCTCCCTCCCTTTCTTTCCTTTTCTTCCTTCCTTCCCCTTCCTTTCCTCCCCTCCTCCTTCCTTCCTGTCCCTCCCTCCTTCCTTCTCCTTCCTTTCCTTCTTTCCTTCCTTCCCTTCCTTCCCATCCCTCCTTTTTCCTTTCCTTCTTTTCCTCCCTCCCTTTCCTCCTTCTTTCCCTTTCTTCATTTCCTTCTCCTTCATTTCCTTCCCTCCCTCCTTCTTCACCCCCTCCTTCCTTTCCCTCCTTCCTTCTCCTTCCTTTCCTTCCTTCCTGTCCCTCCTTCTTTCTTTTCCTTCCCTTCTTTCCCTCCTAACCCTCTGCCTACATCCTTGATGGGGACTACAACCTTGTGCAGGATGCTGTTGCATTCCATGGCTCTCTGACTCTGTTTCCCTTCCTTCCCTCTCCAGAAAATGCACGTGTTCAAGAAGACGCTGCAGGCGCTGATCTACCCGATGTCCTCCACCACCCCGCACTACTTCGAGGTCTGGACGGCCACGGCCCCCACCTACTGCTACGAGTGCGAGGGGCTGCTCTGGGGCATCGCCCGGCAAGGCATGCGCTGCACCGAGTGCGGGGTCAAGTGCCACGAGAAGTGCCAGGACCTGCTCAACGCAGACTGCTTGCAGAGTGAGTCTCGGGCAGGGAAGGGGCAGGGGGCGGCGGGGCTCTTCTTCCTCCGGTTTCCATGGTCCAACTCTTGTCCGGACTGAGGGATCGAGGGGCCAGTGGTTCTCTCTTCCAGCCACCGCCCTTTGCACCATTATACATCATGCAATGAAATTAAATGCACATTAAATACGAGGGTTGAATGAAAAGTTGAATGGGAAGGTAACGGTGCGCCATGCAGTCATGCAGGCCACATGACTTTGGAGGTGTCTATGGACAAAGCCGGCTCTTGGGCTTAGAAATGGAGATGAGCACCATGGCGGTTCTGTGTGGGGTGTTTGTCCCAATTCTGTTGTTGGTGGGATTCAGAATGCTCTGTGATTGTAGGTGAACTATAAATCCCACCAACTATAACTGTTTTCCCCAAACTCCACCAGTGTTCATTTTTGGGCATATTGAGTATTTGTGTAGAGTTTGGTCCAGATCCATCATTCTTTGAGTCCACAGTGCTCTCTGGATGTAGGTGAACTACAACTCCCAAAACTCAAGGTCAATGCCCACCAAACCCTTCCAGTATTTTCTGTTGGTCATGGGAGTTCTGTGTGCCAAGTTTGGTTCAATTCATCGTTGATGGAGTTCAGAATACTCTTTGATTGTAGGTGAACTATAATTCCCAGCAACTACAACTCCCAAATGTCAAGGTCTATTTCCCCCAAACACCACCATTGTTCACATTTGGGCATATTGAGTATTTGTGCCAAGTTTGGTCCAGATCCATCATTTTTTGAGTAATTCCAGGAGCAGAGAATGGGAAATCTTCCTATTTCTAGTCTGAACAAAATCTGGCTACCAGTATTAAAAAAACTCTAAAATTATAACTGTAAATAAAGAACAACACTCAAACACAGGGGAACTCCAGACAAGAAACAATCAGGGCCAGCTAATCACCTCTCAACAAAGGATTCTCCCTAAAAACTGTCAGGCTATGAAATGGTCATCAAGGTGGCCAATTGAAACATTCATACCTACCTCCAACAGACAAGAGTTCTTTCTCCCCTAGAATCCTAGAATCAAAGAGTTGGAAGAGACCTCCTGGGCCATCCAGTCCAACCCCATTCTGCCAAGAAGCAGGAATATTGCATTCAAAGCACCCCTGACAGATGGCCATCCAGCCTCTGTTTAAAAGCTTCCAAAGAAGGAGCCTCCACCACACTCCGGGCAGAGAGTTCCACTGCTGAACGGCTCTCACAGTCAGGAAGTTCTTCCTCATGTTCAGATGGAATCTCCTTTCTTGTAGTTTGAAGCCATTGTTCCTTGTCCTAATCGTTTTATGCTTTAGCCTTGTGGACCTTTTCCCTACAGGTGTTGGCTATTTGTTTGAATTCTTCTTTGGTGATTTCTCCCTTTTTCCACTTCTTGTGCATGTCCTCCTCTTCCTCTTCCTCCTCGTGCGTCCTAGTCTCCAGGGAAGCAGAAAACAAGCTTGCTCCCTCCTTCCCTGTGGCTTCCTCTCACATATTTATACATGGCTCTCATCATATCTCCTCTCAGCCTTCTCTTCTTCAGGCTAAACATGCCCAGCTCCTTAAGCCGCTCCTCATAGGGCTTGTTCTCCAGACCCTTGATCTGCTCCCTCCTCCCTGTGGCTTCCTCTCACATATTTATACATGGCCCTCATCATATCTCCTCTCAGCCTTCTCTTCTTCAGGCTAAACATGCCCAGCTCCTTAAGCCGCTCCTCATAGGGATTGTTCTCCAGGACCCCTGATCTGCTCCCTCCTCCCTGTGGCTTCCTCTCACATATTTATACATGGCCCTCATCATATCTCCTCTCAGCCTTCTCTTCTTCAGGCTAAACATGCCCAGCTCCTTAAGCCGCTCCTCATAGGGATTGTTCTCCAGGACCCCTGATCTGCTCCCTCCTCCCTGTGGCTTCCTCTCACATATTTATACATGGCCCTCATCATATCTCCTCTCAGCCTTCTCTTCTTCAGGCTAAACATGCCCAGCTCCTTAAGCCGCTCCTCATAGGGATTGTTCTCCAGGACCCCTGATCTGCTCCCTCCTCCCTGTGGCTTCCTCTCACATATTTATACATGGCCCTCATCATATCTCCTCTCAGCCTTCTCTTCTTCAGGCTAAACATGCCCAGCTCCTTAAGCCGCTCCTCATAGGGCTTGTTCTCCAGACCCTTGATCTGCTCCCTCCTCCCTGTGGCTTCCTCTCACATATTTATACATGGCCCTCATCATATCTCCTCTCAGCCTTCTCTTCTTCAGGCTAAACATGCCCAGCTCCTTAAGCCGCTCCTCATAGGGCTTGTTCTCCAGACCTATTTGCTCCCTCTTCCTCCCTGTGGCTTCCTCTCACATATTTTTACATGGCTATCATGTCTCCTCTCAGCCTTCTCTTCTTCAGGCTAAACATGCCCAGCTCCTTAAGCCGCTCCTCATAGGGCTTGTTCTCCAGACCCTTGATCATTTGAGTCACTCTGATCTGGACACATTCCCACCCTGGATCTTCCACAATTTTCCTAGTTAAAGGTTTTCCTCTGACATGAAGTCCAGTCATGTCTGACTCTGGGGTGTGGTGCTCATCTGCATTTCTAAGTCGAAGAGCTGGCGTTGTCCGTAGACACCTCAAAGGTCATGTGGCCGGCATGACTGCATAGCATGATGGATAGCGTGAGCCAGCCAAGGGAGGGGCACTGTGTGGGGGGGGCGCTCCTCCTCCGCAGGCCGGATAAGTGCCCTTGGTGGGCCGGAAGTGGCCCGCGGGCCGTAGTTTGAGGACCCCTGATATAGATTGTTCCCACTGGTGGTAGTTGATTTATTTCTCCCGTCCCTCTCAGGGGCTGCCGAGAAGAGCTCCAAGCACGGGGCGGAGGACAAGACCCAGAACATCATTGCGGCCATGAAGGACCAGATGAAGGTCCGGGAGAAGAACCACCCGGAGGTCTTTGAGATGATCTGGGAGACCTTCCAGATCCCCAAGGAGGACTTCGCTCAGCACCTGAAGGCAGCCAAGCAGAGCGTCCTGGAGGGGACCTCCAAGTGGTCGGCCAAGATCACCATCACAGGTGAGTCAACGGTAGATTGATGTTTATGGTTTTTGCACAGAGAGACCTCTACTTGGGGTCCTTCAGCCTGATTGCTTAGGCCAGGCATGGGCCAACTCTGGTCCTCCCTCCAAGGTTTTGGACTTCAACTCCCATAATTCCTAACAGCCTCAGGCCCCTTCCTTTTCCTCTCCTCTTCTCTCCTTCCTTCCTCTCTCTTTCCTTCCTTCTTTCACTTTTTATTTCCTTCTCTCCTTCCTTCCTCTACCTTTCTTTCTTTCCTCTTCTTCCCTTCTCCCCCTTTCCTCTTTTTTTCCTTCCCTCTCTTTCCTTCTTCTTTCACTTTTTATTTCCTTCTCTCCTTCCTTCTTCTCTCCTTTCTTTCTTTCCTTCTCTCCCTTCCTTCTTTCCTTCCCTCGCTCTTTCCTTCCTTCTTCCTTTTTTATTTCTTCTCTCTCCTTCTTCTCTTCTTTCTTTTCTTCTCCTCCTTCCTCCCCTTTCCCTCTTTCCTTCCTTCCCTCTCTTTCCTTCCTTCTTTTCACTTTTTTATTTCCTTCTCTCCTTCCTTCATTCTCTACCTTTCTTTCTTTCCTTCTTCCCTTCTCTCCCCCTTTCTCTTTTTTCCTTCCCTCTCTCTTTCCTTCCTTCTTTCACTTTTTTATTTCCTTCTCTCCTTCCTTCATTCTCTACCTTTCTTTCTTTCCTTCTTCCCTTCTCTCCCCCTTTCTCTTTTTTCCTTCCCTCTCTCTTTCCTTCCTTCTTTCACTTTTTTATTTCCTTCTCTCCTTCCTTCATTCTCTACCTTTCTTTCTTTCCTTCTTCCCTTCTCTCCCCCTTTCTCTTTTTTCCTTCCCTCTCTCTTTCCTTCCTTCTTTCACTTTTTTATTTCCTTCTCTCCTTCCTTCATTCTCTACCTTTCTTTCTTTCCTTCTTCCCTTCTCTCCCCCTTTCTCTTTTTTCCTTCCCTCTCTCTTTCCTTCCTTCTTTCACTTTTTTATTTCCTTCTCTCCTTCCTTCATTCTCTACCTTTCTTTCTTTCCTTCTTCCCTTCTCTCCCCCTTTCTCTTTTTTCCTTCCCTCTCTCTTTCCTTCCTTCTTTCACTTTTTTATTTCCTTCTCTCCTTCCTTCATTCTCTACCTTTCTTTCTTTCCTTCTTCCCTTCTCTCCCCCTTTCTCTTTTTTCCTTCCCTCTCTCTTTCCTTCCTTCTTTCACTTTTTTATTTCCTTCTCTCCTTCCTTCATTCTCTACCTTTCTTTCTTTCCTTCTTCCCTTCTCTCCCCCTTTCTCTTTTTTCCTTCCCTCTCTCTTTCCTTCCTTCTTTCACTTTTTTATTTCCTTCTCTCCTTCCTTCATTCTATACCTTTATTTCTTTCCTTCTTCCCTTCACTCCCTAGAAGAGAAGGAAGAAGAGAAAGAGGGAAAGAAGGAGGGAAGGAGAGAAGGAAATAAAAAAGTGAAAGAAGGAAGGAAAGAGAGAGGGAAGGAAAAAAGAGAAAGGGGGAGAGAAGGGAAGAAGGAAAGAAAGAAAGGTAGAGAATGAAGGAAGGAGAGAAGGAAATAAAAAAGTGAAAGAAGGCAGGAAAGAGAGATGGAAGGAAGGAGAGAAGGAAGAAAGGAAGGGAAGGGAAGAAGGAAAGAAAGGTAGAGAATGAAGGAAGGAGAGAAGGAAATAAAAAAGTGAAAGAAGGCAGGAAAGAGAGATGGAAGGAAGGAGAGAAGGAAGAAAGGAAGGGAAGGGAAGAAGAAAGAAGGAAGGAAAGAGAGAGAGAAGGGAGGAGAGAAGGAAGAAAGAGAGAAAAAGGGAGGGAAGGAAAGAAAGAAAGGTAGAGAAGAAAGGAAGGAGAGAAGGAAATAAAAAAGTGAAAGGAAAGAGAGAGGGAAGGAAGGAGAGAAGGAATGAAAGAGAAAAAGAGGGAGGGAAGGAAGGAAGGATGGAACCAAAGAGCAAAGGAAGTGAGGAAAGAAACAGGTAGAGAAGGAAGAAAGAAGGGAATGAAGAAAGGAAAGGAAAGGAAAAGAAAAGAGGGAGGGAAGGAAGGAAGAAAGAAAGGTAGAGAATGAAGGAAGGAGGGAAGGAAATAAAAAGTGAAAGAAGGCAGGAAAGAGAGAGGGAAGGAAGGAAGAGAAAGAGGGAGTGAAGGGAAGAAGGAAAGAAAGAAAGGTAGAGAATGAAGGAAGGAGAGAAGGAAATAAAAAAGTGAAAGAAGGAAGGAAAGAAGAGAGAGGGAAGGAAGGAAGAGGGAGGGAAGGGAAGAAGGAAAGAAAAAGAGAAGAGAAGGAGAGAAGGAAATAAAAAGTGAAAGAAGGAAAGAAGAGAGGGAAGAGAAAGAAAAGAGAAGAAGAAAGAAAAAAGGAAGAAAAAGAAGGAGAGAAGGAAATAAGTGAAAGAAGGAAGGAAAGAGAGAGGGAAGGAAGGAGAGGAGGGGAAAAGGAAGGGGCCTGAGGCTGTTAGGAATTATGGGAGTTGAAGTTCAAAACCTTGGAGGGAGGACCAAAGTTGGCCCATGCCTAGCTTAGATTTTCGGCAGACAGGCAGCAATGGAATCGTGCTGCTCTTGATTGCCAGGATAATGAAACTAGCCAGCGCCTTGCGGCCGAGGCCGCACAGTATTCTGTACCTGTCACCAACGATGGCACCTGCCCAGCGACAGACACAAGCGGCTCGCTGTTTTCATTACCCCATCAATTATCCCTGTCAGATACAAGCAGGGAGAACCAAGCCCTCCAGGATCGTGAGAGGTCTGTCTGGCCAGAAAGAAATATTTAATATCAAGGTCTACGGGGGGGGGGGGGGGGGGGAGGGGGTGGGGGGGGGGGGGCGGGGGGGGGGTCAGCAGTGTCTCCCCCTCCCCCACCTTCTTCCTCTGCATTCCTTGTGCCGTAATGGCAGTCCGCAGTCCGTCCCCATCTTCCAAACTCCGTAGGTCCTTCTGCAGGATATGATTGCTTTCCTCCCCTGGGAAGCCGTTGCTCCACATGCAGGTCTCCTCTGGGCTAGATGCGGCATCCGCTCCTCCTGCCAAGCCTGATTATTGCAGCAACCCGAGTCCGGCATCGGCACTGGGCAGGCGGCCCTCTTTGCGCGCCACAATCGGTTGGCTCCTTTGCATTTGAGATGCCCTGGGGCTCTTTGTTGGGGGGGGGGGGGAACGCGATGATGCTGCAACCCTTCCTTCTGCTCAGCCCCCTTTATGAGGCAAATGGGGGGTGTGGGTGGGGGCTAAGCAGCCTGACAGTCTGGCTTTGTCATTTCCCTGCAAGTGCTAATCCATATCTGGGGGTGGAATTATCAGGCGGGACGTGAGGGGCTTTGGGCGCCTTGCACCCCTGGGAAGAGGCCTACATAATTGGGGAAGCGGGCGGGGTGGGGGGGTGGGTGGGTGGATCAGGTTGTGTTAGGAAGGCGGATGGAGGGTATCCCCGGATTCCTCCCCCCTCCCTTTGCATTACCCTCCCACCATTTGGAAGCACACAATACATAATAATAACTAATAATAACTAATAATAATACATAATAATAATAACATAATAATAACATAATAATAATAATAATACATAATAATAACGGAGCCCCCAGATTCCTCCTCCCTCCCTTTGCGTTACCCTCCCACCAATTGGAAGCACACAATACATAATAATAACTAATAATAATATATAATAATAATAATAATAGTACTACTACTTATAATAATAATACATAATAATAACATAATAATAATAATACATAATAATAATACATAATAATAACGGAGCCCCCAGATTCCTCCTCCCTCCCTTTGCGTTACCCTCCCACCAATTGGAAGCACACAATACATAATAATAACTAATAATAATATATAATAATAATAATAATAGTACTACTACTAATAATAATACATAATAATAACATAATAATAACATAATAATAATAATAATACATAATAATAACGGAGCCCCCAGATTCCTCCTCCCTCCCTTTGCGTTACCCTCCCACCAATTGGAAGCACACAATACATAATAATAACTAATAATAATATATAATAATAATAATAATAGTACTACTACTACTAATAATAATACATAATAATAACATAATAACGGAGCCCCCAGATTCCTCCTCCCTCCCTTTGCGTTACCCTCCCACCAATTGGAAGCACATAATACATAATAATAACTTTATTTATATCCTTCATCTAAGTCATTAATAAAGATGTTGAACAGGACCGGGCGCAGAATCTTCATTCATAACTTAGATTGATTGATTGATTGATTTGTTGTGTCATCAGCAACCAGACATTTGTATTACATTTTTAGCAAAAACAAACAAACAAACAGACAAAACACAGAGTTTGCAAGCTTGGTAGTTGAGTAAATGTCCTTTGACCAGTCTCTGTCCCCTTGGAGTGCCTCTGGTGTTGCCGCAAGAAGGTCCTCCATTGTGCATGTGGCAGGGCTCAGGTTGCATTGCAACAGGTGGTCAGTGGTTTGCTCTTCTCCCACTCGCATGTCGTGGATTCCACTTTGTGGCCCCATTTCTTGAGGTTGGCTCTGCATCTTGTGGTGCCAGAGCGCAGTCTGTTCAGTGCCTTCCAAGTCGCCCAGTTTTCTGTGTGCCTAGGAAGGAGTCTCTCATTTGGTATCAGCATTTATAGAGATTTTGGGTTTTAGCCTGCCTCTTTTGGACTCTCACTTGCTGAGGTGTTCCAGCGAGTGTCTCTGTAGATCTTAGAAAACTATTTCTTGATTTAAGTCGTTGACATGCTGGCTGATACCCAAACAGGGGGTGAGCTGGAGATGTCTTTTGCCTTGGTTCTTTCACTATTGGCTGCTACTTCCTGGCGGATGTCAGGTGGTGCTAAGCAGTGTAATTTCTCCAGTGGTGTAGGGCGCAGACACCCCGTGATAATGCGGCATGTCTCATTAAGAGCCACATCCACTGTTTTAGTGTGGTGAGATGTGTTCCACACTGGGCATGCGTACTCAGCAGCAGAGTAGCACAGCGCAAGGGCAGATGTCTTCACTGTGTCTGGTTGTGATCCCCAGGTTGTGCCAGTCAGCTTTCGTATGATATTGTTTCTAGCACCCACTTTTTGCTTGATATTCAGGCAGTGCTTCTTGTAGGTCAGAGCACGGTCCAGAGTGACTCCCAGGGATTTGGGTGTGTTGCAATGCTCCAGTGGGATTCTTTCCCAGGTAATAATCCTCAGAGCTCGGGATGCTTGTCTGTTCTTAAGGTGAAAGGCACATGTCTGTGTTTTAGATGGATTAGGGATCAGCTGGTTTTCCCTGTAATAGGCAGTAAGAGCACCTAGAGCTTCGTAGAGCTTCTGTTCAACCATCTCAAAGCTCCCTGCTTGAGCGGTGATGGCACGATCATCAGCATAGATGAAACTCTCTGTCCCTTCTGGCAGTGGCTGGTCATTTGTGTAGATGTTGAACATGGATGGAGCAAGCACGCTCCCCTGAGGCAGGCCGTTCTTCTGTTTCCGCCATCTGCTTCTCTGGCCCTGGAACTCAACAAAGAAGCTCCTGTTTTGTAGCAGGTTTCCTATGAGGCGGGTGAGGTGGTCGTCCTTTGTGATATTGTTTAGATGGATTCGGGATCAGCTGGTTTTCCCTGTAATAGGCAGTAAGGGCACCTAGAGCTTCAGAGAGCTTCTGTTTAACCATCTCAAAGCTCCCTGCTTGAGCAGTGATGGCACGATCATCAGCATAGATGAAGCTCTCTGTCCCTTCTGGCAGTGGTTGGTCATTTGTGTAGATGTTGAACATGGATGGAGCAAGCACGCTCCCCTGAGGCAGGCCGTTCTTCTGTTTCCGCAAACATACATATATGCACACTTACACAAATATATACATGCACATATATACATACACACAAACACATATATACAGACTGGGCCACAGCAACGTGTGGCAGGGGACAGGTAGTAGCTAATAAAAATACAGCAATAAATTGAATTAAAAGTGAACTATACAAACAAAGTTTTATGTCCCAGCCATAAACGAATGAAAGCATCTTCACGGGAGGGACAGCACATTTTTCTCTAGTTTTCCAATGAATATCTCATCATTGAGTCTCAACCCATTGCAACCTAGTGTGCGGCAGTCACAGAAATGAAGTTTCTGGAGTAGGACACCTCCTTTCAAAATAAGGACCGCACAATTAAACAGGAAACAACACTTTCAAACCAGGAACAGGAAATTTGTCCAATTGGGTTACATAGTGTAATGGAGCCTTTGGCTGCTGCACCTCTTGCCTTTGTGAGCCCAGCAGACCTTGGCGGAGAGACTTGCCTTGTTATGAATTGTGACGGAGGAGACAAGCGTTGTATTTACGGCACACAAATGGAGGCCAGCGACTGTAAATCCTGCCTTCTTGGGAAGCGGAGCTTGTGCTTTCCGTCTCTCTCCATCCAGAAGTAGTTTAATTTACTACGTTGGCAAAAGTGGCATCATGACACTGTGGCATTTGGACTCCTTTGTCCTTTGAGGCCTCCTGTTGAGGCTCAGTAGCAAGATACTGGGGATGCTGGGGATTGTGTCTCAGAAGGTGGGGGAAGTGGGGGCCAAAGGATGATGCAAACAATTACCGTCCGGTCAGCCTCACGTCGATACCAGGCAAGATTCTGGAAAAGATTGTCAAGGAAGTGGTCTGCAAACACTTAGAAACAAATGCGGAAATACTGAGCAGCATTCCGTGGACACAGATACTAAAAGACAAGGGAGTTACGGATGGATGGGAGTTTTTCAAGAGTGAAATACTCAAGGCGCAATTGCAAACAGTGCCAACAAAGAGAAAAAATAAGACAAGTGCAAAGAAGCCAGAATGGATGTCCAAAGAACTTCTAACTGTGCTAAGACTCAAAGAGACATGCACAAGAAGTGGAAAAAGGGAGAAATCACAAAAGAAGAATTCAAACAAATAGCCAACACCTGTAGGGAAAAGGTCCGCAAGGTAAAGCACAAAACGAGCTCAGGCTTGCCAGGGACATTAAAAACAATAAAAAGGGCTTCTTTTCTTATGTCAGTAGAAAAATGAGCTCTTGAGGAGAAGATGGGGCAATGCTGACAGGGGATAGGAAAAAGGCAGAACTACTTAATGCCTTCTTTGCCTCGGTCTTCTCACAAAAAGAAAGTAATCTCCAACCTCAGCAAGATGGAGTGGATGAGGGATTAGAGGACATTCAACCCCAAATTGGGAAACAAGTCATCCAGGAATACCTGGCCGCTCTAAATGAGTCCAAGTCCCCTTTCAGGGCCAGATCAACTACACCCAAGAGTACTGAAGGAACTAGCGGAAGTCATTTCGGAACCATTGGCAATCATCTTGGAGAGTTCTTGGAGAACGGGAGAAGTTCCAGCAGATTGGAGGAGGGCCAATGTGGTCCCAATCTTCAAGAAGGGAAACAAGGATGACCCAAACAATGACCAATGTCCGGTCAGCCTCACATTGATACCAGGCAAGATTCTGGAAAAGATGGTCAAGGAAGTGGTCTGCAAACACTTAGAAAGGAATGCGGTCATCGCTAAGAGTCAACATGGATTGATCAAAAACAAGTCATGCCAGACTCATCTGATCTCTTTTTTCAATAGAGTTTCAAGCTGGATAGATGCAGGGAATGCCGCCGTGGATGGAGCGTGTCTGGATTTCAGGAAGGCCTTCTTGGACAAGGTCCCCCATGACCTTCTGGCAAGGAAACTAGTCCAATGTGGGCGAGGCAAAACTACGATGATGTGGATCTGTAATTGGTTAAATGGACGAACCCAGAGGGTGATTCTCCCCAAGGCTTCCTCTTCTTCATCCTGGAAAGAAGGGACGAGCAGAGTGCCACAAGCAGGGTTCCGTCCGGGCCCGGTCCTGTTCAGGATCTTCATTCATGACTGAGATGAAGGGCTAGAAGGCAGGATCATCAAGTTTGGAGACGCGACCAAATTGGGAGGGAGAGCCAAGACTCCAGAGGACAGGAGCAGGACTCAAAGGGATCTTGACAGATTAGAGAGATGGTGGGCCAAAACTAACACAATGAAGTTCAACAGGGACAAATGCAAGGGACTCCACTTAGGCAGAAAAAACGAAATGCAAAGAGACCGAATGGGGGACGATGAGGCCTGGCTCGAGAGCAGGACGTGTGAAAAGGATCTTGGGAGTCCTCGTGGACAACAAGTTAAACATGAGCCAGGAATGTGATGTGGTGGCAAAAAAAGCCAATGGGATGTTGGAGCCTAGTGTCTAGATCTAGGGAAGTCCTGCTCCCCATGCTCTATTCTGCCTTGGTTAGACCACTTTACCTGGAATATTGTGTCCAATTCTGGGCACCACAATTCAAGAGAGATATTGGCTCTAAGCTGGAATGTGTCCAGAGGAGGGCGACTCAAATGGTCAAGGGTCTGGAGAACAAGCCCTATGAGGAGCGGCTTAAGGAGATGGGCATGTTTAGCCTGAAGAAGAGAAGGCTGAGAGGAGATATGATAGCCATGTATAAATACGTGAGAGGAAGCCACAGGGAGGAGGGAGCAAGCTTGTTTTCTGCTTCCTTGGAGACTAGGACACGAAACAATGGCTTTAAACTCCAAGAAAGTGTCAGAGTGAGACTCTGAGGTCTATGCACAGCGGAATTGAGGTTACCAGATCACACAGATGCAAAACAGGACGCACTGCAGTTTTCAGTTTCAAAAATAACAGAGTTTACCTAGCACATCTGAAGACAGGTCTACTTCCAAGCGGCCTACATCATGAAGACTACAAAGCACAGCACACACAACAGTTTCCAGAACATTTGCTTATCTCATTTCTCTCTGGCTGGATCCTCCCTTTTTCTTCCCAGGCAGGAAAATGTGTTATCTAACTTCTGTCAAGGTCTTTACTCTCTCTGCCTCTAGCAACAACAATTCTAGCATACAATTGAATATAACTGAATCCATTTTGAATACATATGAACACCATTGTTAAACATATTGAAGCACATTGAAAAACATACATGCATACTTTCAATAATCCTGACAGAAAGGAGATTCCATCTGAACATGAGGAAGAACTTCCTGACTGTGAGAGCCGTTCAGCAGTGGAACTCTGCCCCGAAGTGTGGTGGAGTCTCCTTCTTTGGAAGCTTTGAAACAGAGACTGGATGGCCATCTGTCAGAGGTGATTTGAATGCAATATTCCTGCTTCTTGGCAGAATGGGGTTGGACTGGATGATGGCCCAGGAGGTCTCTTCCAACTCTTGATTCTAGGATTCTATAATTTAATCAACTACCAAGCTTGCAAACTTTGTGTTTTGTTTGTTTGTTTGTTTGCTAAAAATGCAATACAACTGTTTGGTTTGCTCCTGACACAATAAATAAAAAAAACTCCCTGTTATTGAGAGTGCTCTATGTTTGGGACTCAATGAGGTGTGTGTATGTAATGCCATGAGAGTCCCAGTCGGGATGATGGATGGAAGAGTCAACTTACGGTCAGGGGCGGCTCATCCATTACGCGAAGTAAGCTGTCGCAGAACACTTTTTTTTGCCAGGGGCGCAGAGGCGCCTCTGTAAATGCCCCTCGACCGCCACTTGAGGAGCGCCCCCTCAGCTCACAACAGCCCTAGCAGTCCGGGGGGAGCCTCGGCTTTCTTGCCTCGCTGCCGGGCGAGCCTCGCCTAGCCCCTCTCGTTCCTGCTCCACCCGGCCACCGGGTGCGCGAGCAGAGCCGGCGCTCAATCGTTCTCCGTGTTTGATCCCTTCCCCATGACCGGCTCCCTTTCCC